TTTAATAAAAACGATTTGTTTGGGATGATTAAAAAGAAAACGTTTATGTTTGATGTGAAAACTGTCCTTTTGTAAGATTGGATGTGATATGAGGGATCGTTTTTCTAAACAACAGACAAAGTTTCCGTCGATAAAGGAAAAGTGAACATCAAATCATGTTTTGTAATGTTGTAAGCATACATCAAAAGTTCAATGAAAGGAGGGAATGTTCTGTTCTTTCACCCCCTTCTTTCTCTAATCTCTTACCGGAAAAATTACAGTTTCCGGCCCTTACCATATATCAACTGTCCACGTCTGTAGAAGTTACCAATTTTGTCTCCACCACTTACCCCTTTTATACGGCGACGGGCCAGAATTCCATCAACCAGCCGATGGGTCGCACGTCTTATTAAAAAATGTAGAATGTTTACCTAGTATGGAGATTGAATTCTCAATTACTAATATTTAACAAAATTAATCTACTAATTATTGCTTTTGTCAAAAAAAAAAAAAAGAGACAGGCCAATGAGGGACCCAAAGGGGCTGTTGATGAGTTTAATTTTTATATGTATTTTTTTAATTTAAAAATTAATTTTATGAATATTTTATAATTTACCTTACTTAAATTTATCTCATTCTAATTGTTTTGTTGGTAAAGATTAAAAAACAAACTTGAATTAATTTTTTCACCTGATGGTAGTTTGAGCATATAGTAGTAATTTAATCATAACTTTTTCTTCAAATATTGAATTAAGGTGATTCTTAAAACATTATAAAGTTAAGAAGTAAAGCTACAATTTATCTTTTACAAGCTCAATTTAATTCAATTGTATTCAAGTTGAAATTCTAGCTCAAAGTTGCGGTTCTGACACAAAAATTGCCTAGCAGAATGCAAAAAAGGGGAGCTGAGCTGGGTTTTCAATTTATCCAATTAAAGTGCATCAAGGTTGTGGGTTGGCAGCAATTCAAGCCCAAAAACTCATAAACCCTAGAAGAATAGTGGGGGTAAGAAAGGAGAAATAAGGAGAAGGCATATTATATATGTACACCTCAACTTTGCAGCGAAAAAAGAAACGCCGCCTCTGGTTCTCTTCTTTGCCGTTCCTATTTTGAGAAATCATCAGAGGGGAGTCCACAACAGCAACAACAAACAGTTGAGGAAGAAAAGTCCAAGTAGGCACAGTTCGGTTTTGCTCCTATTTGGGACTGATTTTCTCATCTTGATTCTCATTTTTACATTGTTCTTTGCTGGATTTTCTCTTTAATTTTGATGGGTGTTTTGAACTTAATCATGTTGGTTAAATTATATGAATTAGGGGTTGATGGATTTTAATTATTGGATTATGTGATTGTTTTTAGTTTAATTCAAGATTTACTGGTTATTTGCATCATAGTTTATGTTATTGAATTCAATTCATTGAAAGTCTAATTACCTTTCAATTAATTTAGTGATGTATGTATCAACTTGAAAAAGAATTGCATAAATTTGACCAATAATAATATAAGTTATGTGTTAGACTATAAGACTGAGAGGTGTCACATGTGGTAGTAATAGAGAAAGAGAAGAGAGTTAGGAGCTCTTTCTTCCTAAACTAGAGGTTTCAATAAAATTTAATACTCATTAGTTTGTTTAAATTATATTGAAATATGATTAATTTAACAAGGGAAGAATTAATTTAACTTGAAAAAACTAGCTAATTAATCGAGGGAAATCCACCATCTTATGCCATAAAATTATTGTTTGAACTTAACTTAGATTAATTAAATAGTTACGTAATTTAACATTAAATGAAATTTAAATCTTAGTTCCTTTCTATTCATGATTACTTTTACTTAGAAAATTTCTTTAGATTAAGTAATTTAATTTTGTTCAATTAATTAATTAATTAATTAATTTAACTTTGACTAAATTAATATTATCTTAATAGTGTAGAATAGTTTTCGAGAAAGCAATATCTTAATTATCTTATACTGCATAATCGATTAGGTTCACTTGTTCATATTTGGTGCATCAGCCGTCCCTTGGAACTTTTGAAAAATATTTAATATGGTACTCTAATTTTTATTTGTAAAAAATTTTGTTTTTATAGTATGAATTTCAAGGACTATTTTAAATATAAAGAAAATATTTAAAATCTAAATAAAA